ACTCCTGCACGCACTCACACACATGCACACACAGAGGGAAGCATACAGAGGAAGAGAGAGAGCGAGAGAGAGAGAGAGCGAGAGAGAGAGAGAGCGAGAGAGAGAGAGAGAGAGAGCGAGAGAGAGAGAGAGAGCAAGGCATACAAACAGACAGATAAAGATAGAACGTGAGACAGGGAGACAGAGTGGTAAAGGAGAGAAACGTTAGAAGGTTAGCGAATGAAATCCTCCCAGTCCCAGATGTTCATATAAATCACACTATGTCTCGCGATAGCCATCACGTTATGTGTTGTTTACACGCACGAGCTTCCAGCGAGAAGTGGTGTACATGACCACGAATACACTTCTCTCCTACTCCTCCACTCTTCCACATACCTCTTCCCTTCCACCATCCACGCGCATCCCAGCACGTTCCCAGCTTGACACTAATTAACACGAAAATTCAATGACAAGATACTAATTAACAGCCTAGCCGCGCGCCTCTTATCTACGGCGAATCGCTAATTAATACTAATTACTGTGACGTCAATTCCTGTTGTGTTTGTCCTTCCGTTCGTCCATGCTGTGACGGAAGTATCGTGTTCATATAACGTGTCTCAGAAGATTCTTCGGCTTCGGATTTAATGTACGCGCGGGTGAATTCCAAGCAGGGCTTCACTAGACGTCTAGTGCAAACTAGAAAGCTCGCACTCCGCCACAAAATTCTGAATGTGTCACATACAGATTCAGAGCAAGATCAAAGCGGCAGTGTGTGTGTGTGGTGGGCGTGTATCTGTGTGTGTGTGTGTGTGTGTGTGTGTTTGTGTGTGTGTCTGTGTGCGTGTGCGTGTACGTGCGTGCGTGCGTCTGTACGTGCGTGCGCGCGCGCCCGTGTGTGTGCGTTAATGGTTATTAGTGCAGACCCGCACACATTGTTGGCGGAGCATTGACAGCAGCTATTTAAGTAGACTTCGTTCCGTGACCGCGCGAGGAAGCGAATCACCACTCTACCACCAACCCCATCCCCGCCTAAAGCCGCCAACACATTCCCTTGTCACTATAATTCACAAGCAAAGGCGCGTTTCTTTTACGCCCGCGAGAAGCTTCATTATCATAATGGCGCATTGGAGTTCACTGGGTTTCCAGTTTATGCCACTAGAGGGTTCTCCATTTGTCTTGCTATCGATCGCACGTCGCTTCGTGAACCCTGCGATATCTGAAATCTGAACGGCTCTTTCGCTTCTTTGTAGTGAGGGTCGGGTAGCGATAGAGACAGGGATATCGCGCGATAGGGCGGAAGAGAAGAAGAGCTCAAGCGTGCAAGAGAGAGAGCGAGAGAGATAAGGGAAAATGGAAAAGAGGGAGAGATGGGGGTGGCAGATGGCGCTCAGCAAGCACACCAACAGCGGCAGCAGTAAACGTAACACGCACGCACGCACGCACGCACGCACGCACGCACGCACGCCCGCTCGCCCGCACGCACGCACGCGATATCTTTTCACCTCACGCAATGTTACGTTAGAAAACTTCGTTAAAATTTTTTTAATTTAAAACAATGTTACGTTCGTTCCTTTCTCCTTCGCCGGCACGCGTGCGCATGCGTTGTCGCCGTTAGCCTCCAAGTCGAAATGAATATCCTAAGTAAATGAGCAAGAGCATTCACGCGTGAAGAAGGTTGCTGTATGGGACCGAGTGGGTGGGACGTGGGTATCGAGCTAGGAATGCAGGGGAGGTACGCGATAGGAAATTCAGTCGTTACTTACAAGCGCGACCAGAGAGCGCAACGCGAAATCTTCTACTTGGGCGAACGCAAGCGTTCGGCCGCCTTTGATCGCTCGCCGGGCACCGGGCGTATCGTGTCCCGCAGCTGTTGGACCGGCTATCGCCCTCAAACTCGCCAGGAAGCCAAGATTATATGTTCGGTAAGCCAAACTGTATCCATATTGGAAATGAGAAGCAGATGGCGTTTGACGCGCAGCCGTGGCCGCGGCGTGAGCGCAGGTCGATGGCCTGACACGTAATCTAGATTTTTCCTCAGCGTCCCATAATTATACCTCATACCGAAATCATGGATGCTGATATGCACTATATATATATAAGCATCTTTTTGCATGTGCGTTTGTGTGCGTGTGTACGCGTGCGCGTGTCTGTGTAAGTATAGGCAGATATGGGCACGCACGCACGCACGCACGCACGCACACACACACACCCACTCACACACACACCCACACACCCACACACACACACACACACACACACACACACACACACACACACACACACACACACACACACACACACACACACAAGAATTGGAGACTGCGCACTGCAACACAGAGAAGAAGGCGGGCGCCAGTTAGATATGTGCACGCACGCACGCACGCACGCACGCACACACACGC